TATCAGGTGCAAAAACACTACTAAAAAATTCACAGAATTTTTCAACAATTTCTTGAGCAGAAGTAAATTTCATATCATTAAAATACATTTGACCGGGAATTCTGGGGTTACCTCTTTTAGAGCCGATATAAGACCAGAATTGTTGACAATCAATTGAAATCAATTTTTCGATATCCTGAATATAAATACGATAAGCTATTCTTATTTGATGTTTAATTTTTCGCCGTAACTCATTGTAATTAATGCGATATGATTCTAAATTATACCTTTTATATAATTTGAAAATTTTACTCTTAAGTTTAAGGTTTTTTATAATATCCTCCACCTCTATTCATAAATTTCAGATCGTTGTTTCCCGGCAATACTCGAAACTCCGTTCCGTCTCCCGAATGGATCACCACATGCGTTGCTTATCTCGCACCTGGCATTGTTTATCACAGAACAATAGGACCTGATCAAATTAAACTTTCGACATTACGATTAAGTTTCGATCACTTGTTCTCTTATTTATGCGTTTTAAACAAGAAATTAGAATTAAATTAATTAAGCGATTACTGACTAACTTTAGAATAAATAACCAACATTAAAATGAGAATTCAGCAACGTTTTCTATTTCTGTGTCTATTTGAAATCACATTCTCATGTCCGATGAAATAACTTGAATGATTTTACCTACAGGATTTCCCGACTGCTATATTTCCAACACTCAAATCTTGACTACAGAGTGGCTCGCCCTCATCTTCGGCATTGTTTTAATCTGGAGAAACGACACCCCCTTGCAGTTTATACAACAATCTACAATCATTCATTGAAAACAACAGCAGTTGTAATATAGGTATATCAGTGAAACGAACAGTCGCAATAACCTTCTCCTCCAACATCAAAAATGGCACCGGTTTCCAAATATCTACTTCTGTTATCCCGTAAAAGATCTAAGCACATATACGTAATTATGCATGGCGTCATTCAATCTAGATGTACAATGCGTAAATAATTTGACTTCCTAACTGAATACATTAGTTTGCTACATAATTAATTTACATTAAAGCGTCACTTTACACAAAGTGACTTTAATGAACAGAAACTGTAACAGCTGTAAGTGGGTAGGTATATATTGCCATAAGTTGCGTTTTAACCCGCGAGATCATTACGGCGGATCCCGTAAAATCATTCTCCGAAGTTAACGCGGTATTTTATTTATGTTTCAGTCGTAAAACGGCGAAGGCGTAGTAAAAGTGGCTTATCTAACCTATCAAACAAGATATTCCGCCGCGCGGGAGTTTAACCGTAAAATAATGAAGTTTAATCATAAACAGAATATGTCTCAATAATTATCAATTGTTACGCCAACTTTATTACACCCCTAGAGATATTAAATTTAAGGGTAGATGTGAAAAATGCCCTCGCTGTTTGTAACTTGATAAATTTCATCCCTCTTCCGTTGTAAGAATATGCTATACGCAAATAGCAGAAAACAACATGCAGATGGTTCATTTCACAGCCTACTTACCCCGCGTTATTTTACGTAGGTACCTACGTAAATATTTAGTGATATTTGACATCGATGAGCAAAAGCTCCTTGCTGCTAAAAGTATATGTACAGAAATATGAGCTTTAGATGAAAAGCATTTTTCTAGGTTATTTACTTTGCCATTACGAAAAATTCATACCCGCTTTCATTATTATTCTTTACCGCGAATGCCGTAATGAGCTGGCTGGTTGCATGAACACCCATTTCCAATTTAATTAACCCCACGTTGGGCGCCTTTTGCGTACCTACTCATACCGAACAATGCGGATTAGTTTTGTTTTTCAATTCTCATGGATTTATGCTTAAACCAAACTACTTAGTATAGACAAGTTAATTGACAAATGGAAGGAGAAACATATAATTTAGATAAGACGTTGGCGCGAAAACTTTTGATGCGAGCTCGAGAAGCCTATAATACCTACTGGAAAAGTTTGTTCAAGAGCAGTTTGAGATAAGTTCTTTACTAAACAAGAGCTTAATCTTCAGATTTTACATGATACTTTATTACTTCTGATTTCTTATTTAATTACGAAGCTAATTAATTATACATTCCTCGTTTAAAGTTATCCAGGAATTCTGCGAGATTCGGGAAACTGACATTTTGATTGAAACAAAATGGCGATTAGCTGGATCTTTATCTAATCACCGACTTGGAATACAAATTTGCGGATTTTGTTATCAATCGTGTCAACACGACGTGTAATGTATGTGTCCGCATAATTCAGAACTTTTCAAACTACTTCAGAAAAAACTCACTCGGATCGTGCATGTGTCGAGCGCCAGCCGGCACGGTTTTTTTTTTCTGAAAAAAAAATTCTTTCAATAGTTTTCCACTTCTCAGTGAGAAATGCACAAAAAACGAAATTCCCGTTTCTTGCCAGTATAATATAGCGTCTGTAGCAATGATGCAAAGAATGTGTTTGTAACCTTGGGTACATATAATAGGTACTATTGATTTTGAGACCAGAAGTTGATGGTAATCAGTTGCGCATGCATAGGTCATTTTTTCAAATTCTTGCGAACGCGAAACTTATTGTCTTCAACATTGGTACTTGCCACTCGCTCATCTGACCATTGTAACGTGACCCCGCAAAGTCGTTTAAATTTTTGGAATTTTATAAATGTGTAGAATTGCATATGTACCACTTCATACGAAGAGTGAGCGCGAGTAGATTTAATGGCGACTACGAAGCGCGCTTAAAAATGCGTGCGCTTCGCGGTAACAGTAATCTAAGCGAATCGCGAAAATCGCGTCGGTTCCGTATCCGTATTTCTGATGGGCAACCGAATAGAATGAAAAGTTATCGAAGCCCTGCAGATGGAGAGGAACTATCTTGTTGCGTTCGGAATGTGTCGGTTCTTCTACTTAGCAACATGAAAGGTGGTAGCGATCGTTTAATAGTGCAGGTCGTCCGCGCTAAGAAATGACGATGACCAAATAAGCGAGTTTAGCGTAAAAAAAGTATAAGTGAAAGAGAAGTCGAGTAGTGATCGCGGCCAAATGCCGCCAGTAATCCTAAAGAAGGAACGTCGGCATCGCCGGAACATCATCCGGGAGCTCTTCAACCGACCAACTGCTCCTACGCATTTGAGCCGGCTACGCGACCGCGACCGGTACATTAATCCAATAACGGTGTCTACAAACGACTACAAAAGGTACGCCGTCCGTCACAAAACCACTGAGCAGACAACGCTAAAAAATTATGAATCTATCTACAGTCTTAGACTATGGAGGAGAGGAACCATAATACCCTGCGGGTTGAAGTAAATTTTCGCATAGCTTGGTGGAAAACAGAACTTTTTTACTTCGTATTTATGCCGTGCAGATGTGGTTGACGGTACTGTTGCCGCAATAATATTAATAATTATTTATGCCGTGCATGATTGTAAGCATACAAATTGACGGTACGGTTACCGGTTTAATCCTACGAAAAAGGACTGTAGGCGGTCATGTTATGGGTGGAAAACAGAGCTAAAATGTGCTTCACTTTACGATTGTCTTTTATCTCTCCTCTATCTTTCTTTCTCTAATTAAAGGCGCAATAGACGACAATAAATTTTATTTTTCATTTGCCTATTACTCGTATGTGCCAATTATATCTGTCATATGAGATATATAAAGCAGTCTATGACGCCCGAGGGCATAACGACAGGCCATAATGGATTGTCATTTCATTATGCCCTCAAACGGCCTGGCAAATATATTGACGGACGTATATTTTTATGTAATAAAAAAGATGCTACTCGATTCGTCGGAAGCACTTTAATGTTGGCAAACAATAGTCATTACATTTGTATATTGGAACGATGAAAAATAAAATGCTGTATGCACCTCAGGCATTACTCGATATTTAACCCCCGGGCAGGGGGCCCTCGGGTTTTGTCGCCCTCGCCATAAATATCGCCTTAATGCCCTTGATACACAAATAACTAATATGTATTTTACATGGATTTTTGTCAATGTGCAAATTTTAACGTGTATTGTGTTCGTGGAATTTTTTCATGTAGGTAACATTTGAAATATAGAGCCGGTCCTATTTTTGAAGGCCATTCACGTGAAATTCAGTAACTTATAGCGATTTTAGTGTTTATGATTGGTGCTACTGGTAGACCCTATCTTATTTGTTTTGATGGAAATATAAAAGAGGTTATGTTACATATGATTAAGCCTTTTATTTGAATCTTTGTTTCTTGAATGTACCATTTCCATTGTAATTGACGTATACCAACTGCAGGAGCCAATAATATTATGCTATTAAATCCCTTATAATTATAATAGGTACAGCCCGCGGCTACAAGTGCTGAAAATGAAATGTGTTTTACAGCGACGTCGGAAGTGAATAACGGTTGGGAGGGGGGGGGCAAAAATCAGCGACCATGGAGCCTGAAAGGTTCCTACCATGCAAAATTGTGTACGGATTAATGCAAAGCAGTAGGTTTTTTAAGTGACCCTGAAACCTGTTTATTTAATCAATCAAATAATGTATTTTTGAAAGGAAAGTTTTGAACAAAAATTTAAAAAAGTGTCGGAGGATGTCTAGTTATATGCAAGTGAGTAACTCAGAGATACTTGACTCGATTGAGAAAACCATAGCCATAGATCATTAATATCTTTTTTAAAAATGGTGAAGAACTAGAACATACAAAAGTTACAACAATTTCGTTCCTATTTATTGCACTACTAAGCATTGTAAAGGAAAGCAAGTATAAAAAATTAAATATATACAAAATTTTTCTGCCTTTCCGCAGTCTTTCTGGCAAATTCTTTCAATATATCCTCTACTTCTACACTTTTTGTAATTTCTGCATGCACATGCAGTAGAAGATGTGTTAGTCGCTTTTGAGTGATTTATCTACTCATTGTTAGAGGGGGCGCGGCCCCCCTTGTGTAACAACTGAGGGGGCGACTCGCCACCCATGGGGGAACCCATACTGACGTCGTAGTACTCCAATATGGTATTTGGAATTTGCCAGCGATTATAAAATTCTTCTGCTATTTCATTCCATTCTTCCGTGCTATTTGGCATCTGAAGAGGGTTCATATATTAGGTTTTTATAGGCCCAATCAAAAGCATAATTACTTACCCTCAAATAGTGTCATGCTTTGCGATATATGGCCCTACTTTCGCAAGTAACTCTAAAATTGAATTATTTGTCATTCGTAAATAATTCCTGAATGCCGCAGGATGTTCAAATAATATTTCATTATTTATTAGTCATAATTTAATTATGTTAATCCCTTCTTCTAACCCATGGGCAAACCCACTCTTTGCGGTTGCAATTTTTCTTTTTTTTCTTTAAATTTACAATCACCCTTCTACTAATTGCTATTATTTTTGTTTTGCACTAACAGCAAGGGAAATAGAAGTGTTCATTGTAACTTAAAACAAACGAGAAAATAGAATCAAAGACGATCCTGATTTTTAAAAAGTAAATATAAGTGAAGTTGTTTTGTAAGTCCTAGGGATTTATTCGCCATTACAGAACCATCAACAGTAGGTAGCTATTAAACTTTTTAAAATACCTCACAAATTTAAACGTGTATCATTGCGCATCATTGTCATTTTTTTCATCAATGCATTTCTGGGTGTAAAACGTATGTAGAAATTTAACCGTGTATTGGGGGTTTATGGTGGACTTCCAATTTTCATACAAATGATTTTTGTTACAAACTTGAGTTCGAAATTATTTGATGCTGATAAAAACAGTCAAAGTAGGCTGGTTTGTATAATAATTGAAAGTCTTCCATAACTTTTAATTCAAAACACCTTTTTTAATATATTGTTATATACAGGGTGTTACATGACGGCATGTAAAAAAAATTGGGCGAGGGGATCAGGACAAGCACTTTTTCCAAATAAACCAAGGGTCCAACGTGTTTCGTTTGGGAGCCACCCCCAAAACAGTGGTGAAATTTGGATTTCTTCTTTAATTTTTTTCTCAGCTTAAATCGATATTTTTTGTTATTTGCAACATTTTCAATTAACTACATGGGAAATTAGATCACTCACTAGTAGGCGGGGGACACTGTAACCCGAAGGCCCAATTTTCAAATGAGTATAATTTTTGTTTGAAAAGCTATTTTAAAAAATTGTTCGACAATTTTGTTCCTTCACTCATCAAGTATGTACACAACAAATTTCGTGGAATTCTCTCCATTTTCGTTGTCCGGTCAAGAATTGCGGTGGAACTTTTTTTTTTCGAATTTTCAAAAACTAATTCCAGATTCGTCATTTTCATGTTCAAAAACCTCCAGATACCAAATTTGGGCGAAATCATACTCGAAAACCTATCAAAGACGTGCCACTTTGTGACTCTTATGGTTGCTGAGAAAAAAATTAATCCAAATGTCCCAACTTCTTAGGGGGTGGCTCTCAAACAAAACACGTTGGACCCTCGGTTTATTTGGAAAAAGTGCTTGTCCTGATCTCCTGTATTACTCAATTTTTTTTACATGCGGTAATGAAACACCCTGTATATCTGCTAAGATTAAGAGTTACCTCTTGACTAATTTTTAGAATTCGGCGTACAAACACCCTGTATATTAATTGATTTGGCCCATTTTTTTCAATATCTTAGTTGGAGGCTAAGTAGGAGCGATTCTCAGAACATGAAGATCCAACTCTAAAAAATTTGTTATATGCACTTTATATGCACTCAATCCGTGGACACACTGTATATATGTATGTATATATATGTATTGTAAATAAATCATTGTCACTAGCGCAATCACCAGTGGTCACCCCGACGTGTGAAGATGACGAACGAAGGCATGACCTCGATCACTATTATGGCCAATCAACCTCGAAATGTGGTTCGCCTAAGTGGAGAGTCATTTCAGAATAAGTGACGACTGGTATCGCCATCAGCTTGGGAGTCAAATACGAACAAGGTCAATCCAAGCACCGCTCCATGAGCTGCTGAAAGTAAAAATTCTAGGAAACACAGTGGACGATCGAAGCGCGAGTAGCATTCAAGCAATGCCAACAGCAAATTACAAATGGAACCATGATACACCACCCGCAACAGACCCAACGCTGAGCATAACGACCGATGGATCAGACTTTGCGCGATAGGAGGTCGTTCAACAGTACCAAAACGGAGAATTCGCATTTTTTCGAGGACGTTACCACCAGCGGAACGGATGTACTGAGCATACGACAGAGAATTACTCTAGGAATTACTCGTAATCTACAAAACCATCAAACAACATGAGCACATTCTAAAACGTGGCACTTTCACGGTATATACGGACCACAAAACGATCACTTACGCCTTCATACAAAATCCAGAAAAATGCTCGCCAAGGCAATTCCGATACCTGGACTACATCGGAACATCAAATACATAGTCTGGAAGAAAAACGTCGTCGTATATATGTAAACATAAAACCTGTTTATATTTTCTAAAACCTTTCATCAAAAAAACCACAATAGCTCATCAAGTATTTAAACTTCTGAATTTTACCAAAACTTGATCGTTCGTAGGTATCAACAGAAACCCGCCGTTTTCATACGTGAGCTCCTTGGGCGCGTATTTACTCGGTACAATTTCAAAATGTGACAATATCTTTATCACTCCAATTGAAACCGACAGGTAACCAAATTTTGTGGCTAAAATAGGTGCCTGTTATTACCATCGCTGCACTTCAAAAAGACGTTACCTAAGCAGTTCCTGTAACCTTCACCGAATGGCATGTACGTACATGGGACGATAGTCGACTTGTTTTCTGTTGAAAATCTTTCTGGATTGAACACCATGGGATCTGGGAAATAGTTCCCATCGTGCTGTAGTGCTGTTAACGAAATGTAGACAGCAACTCCTTTTTGGATGACGACATTGGTGTTTGGGATGGTGTACGCTTTAGTGCATTCTCGGTCCAAAAACGGTAACGTCGGATATTTTCGTAGCGCCTCTAGAGATTGATTACTGTACTAGCCAAATGCTACTAACTGATCATACCTTTGATAACCATATCTAAATACGTCATTTCTTGAATAGCATCATACGTTATTGTCTCGTGCTTCGACAGGATGGCCAATACTTCCGCCCGCTCGTAGCCGGTCTTGTATTGATGCATTTAACGAAAGCTCGTACAAAATATACGCGATAGTAGCCCCGGATGTTTCATAGCCCGCTACCAAGAATTGCAAGGAGAGGCTCACCAAAAGTTCGTCGTCTGCAAGTGAAATATATTAGGAATGGGTTAAATTTCAAAATAGAGTTACCAAAAAAATCAGGTTCCTTGCGTCGGATTTGCTTTATGAGTTCGATTAGATCGGGGCGATTAGTGTTCAGTCGTTCTCTCTCGGTAATGGTATCCAAGAAGATTTTTTCTAAATAGTGACTAGACTTGGGATCGGCGTATTTCATTCGAAACGCTTTGACCAGAATTGGTGCGAAAAAGTGTGCGGCCATTTGTATGGCGCGCAACGGAGTTACACCTTGCACTCCCTTGGCGGCCTCTGCAAAGTCGGGGTTTTCGTGCGAATTGACTCTCAGCCCGAAGGCGCAGGATGAAATTGCGTCGATGGCGGATTTGAATGTTGTACTTCTACTGTTGGCCATTTCCGATTCTAAGCAATTGCGCTTAATAAAATTAACCATATCGTCACCGGCTTCCAAAACTAACGGCACCATGTTCTTCAGTTTGCTCGCGGAAAACACTGGCGTAACTTTTGATCGAAGTGTTCTCCACGCCGGTTGTTTCATCATAAACAAGGTAGATTTGGAGTACTTATCATGTTCGTTGTACATCACACTTCGATCTTGGAAGTAATCAAAGTCACTGACGAGAATTCTCTTGATGAGTTCCGGATCACGAATTAAAAGCAACGGCCTGTCAAAGAAAAAAAAACCTACGTATGGAGACGTAGTTGACCTATAAAGACTTTTCAAAAATACATTAATTGACTCCTTTTGGGACACAACTGGCAACACATTTCCGAAAAAGAAGGTGGGTTTGACGTACGGAACATTTTGATCCTTCCAACAATTAAAGTTTCGCGTAAAATACAAATAAATTGGGAGGAATACCGCAATTGCAACACAAACACAGGCATTAATAAACAAAATCATCGCAACTAGCTCGGTACGATGTCCAACCTCGATTAAATAAATTAAACATTATAGCTTAGTTGCAACATATGGTTTTTCCCAACTAAAGCAGACCTTCCACAAGCATTCCTTTCATCGAACTTTGAATCAACGCCATGGCATTACCTGGCCATACACATCAGAGCCGGTCTGTAATGGGGCGGTTCAAACGTACCTACAGATTTGAATGTAAGTTAGTGGGTAAACACGCCCTAGATGTAAGTAGGACAGGATTGTCTGTCAGTGACGCATCAAATTGACTGTCGCAGCTCAAACCGGCGGATCAACCTTTCTGTGTATGGCCAACCTTTGAACTTGGAACACTTCCACGTTCGCACATGGTTCGTACATACAAACTTGACGGACAGGGGTGGGTGGAGAACCATAAACCGGTCCATGAAATATACCCATGGGCGTACGCAGCTTTTGGTCTAGGGAGGGGCAAAAAATAAAATTGGCGGAAACAAAATGTTTAATGAAACGCATAATATACATTTTTATTTTTAGTAGGTAAGTAATAGTTACTAAAAACGTCTTCAAAATTATTATATCTGAAAATATTAGTTATTACCGCTTTTATATCAATTAATTTTGTATTAAATATGCAAAAAAAGACACGGGGCGAAAATAGATAGGTAGATATAAAGGCCATTTCGGTATATCGGTAGAATTTTAGGGAAATCGGTAGATCTACCGAAAAATCGGTAGACGGAACAACACTGGTGACCACTGCACAGTGGTTTGTGTTAACGCGCGATTAGTGAACGATAACTTCGCTCAGCCCGACGGCAGACGAGCCGGGCTGGCGCCTAGCTATACAGGTGCCGGTGTGCCGAGTAATCCGATGGACATGGGAACATCAATTTTCGGGATCGGTACCCTAATTTATAGCTTAAAACCTCTTTCATTGCTTAAATCTCAAAAGAAAGGGTTTTGAATTAGAAGCCAACAAAGACAATTCTTACAGATATTTTTTAACAAACATAAAACGTAACCTGTGGCCAGGCCAGGGAGGGGCAGCTGCCCCCCCCCTTGCCCCTCCCTGCGTACGCCCATGAATATACCTACCTATCGGCCCACTTGGCGGGTGGGGGAGGGGTTACTCAATGCGCCCTAACTTTAAAATATGAATGCTTTTTCTAACATTGATTGTTGATAATTATGTCTCAACAACATAAATGCTTCTAGATTATTGTTACACAATCTGTTCCTTAATCGATTTTTTATACATTTCAGAATTGCGAAAGAATAAGTTAACAGGTATTGATAGGCATTAACAAGTGCCGAATATGGGAACGTAAATTTAAGTACGTAATTTATTCACAATTAATTAATTAATCAATATCAATTAATTAATTTATAAGTTTTAAAATGGATAAATTTACAACAGTAACTATAAGCGCGAATTTTCATTGCTTCGACGTTGAAATTGGAACTGACCGAAACGCAATTCTATATGCTTATATAGCAAACGAAAGCTCCCTAGTATTCTAGAATGTTCTCCAACAAACATGTATTTCCCGGAAAGATCATTTCATTAAATGGTAATATTTTTTCCCAACGTTTTTCCAGTAGATTACTGGGTAATAGGTACTCCACTTTTAATATCAGGGAACCCATTAATGACCACCGTTGCGTTTTCGCAACACTCAACAGTCGCTGTTTGTTTATTTTATATTTCCTGTATAAGTCGGTGTTTTGTCACGTGCTCTAGCTAAGTGTTTTCTCAAATACATGCTTTATTAGTATCCCTTAACCTGTTTTTCGTTTATGAACATTTCAGTTGTATTTGTGGCATTATAGGAAGCAAAATTGTTTTCGCGTAGTGGCAGTTGTGTTTTCTAAGACATTATAATTTTTTTCTCTTTTACTAAGTTTTATAAAAAGGTGTGCTTTGTGGGAACGAGTTTGAGATAGTTTTTTATTGCAATAATAACAGGTAAGATGAGGAATGGTTTTTATTTTTTTATAATATACCCCATGAAAGTGTGATGTTGCGTTTTCGCAACACTGGGTACATAGTGTACATTTGCCAATATACCTATAATTTCAGGATTGTAATGTCTCAAAAATACGATCTTACTTGTAAGCCGTCCACATCTCGGCAGCATCCTGCTGCTATCAATTATGTATGCCGCTCACGTGCGCATAAAATAATGAGCATGCTGGAAGAGTCAAACCTGGCTTCAGAGTCTAGTGTGGTTGATGTCTTCATATCTCCACCAGATCCATCTGTGCTAACAGATGAAGATAGTGGTGACGAAGATGAAGGTGGCAGCTTCGACAACTTCTGCGCGCGTCAGTTAGATGCCGAGGCAGAAGTAGTCCTACATCAACCATCTGGAGAAGTTAGGATTGAAGAAAGGAACATTGAGTTGTTCGAAAGTATGGTTTCTGAAGATCCAGAAATAGTGGCATCTGAGGTAATTGAAAGAGAATTGGAAATTAGTGAAGTCGACCGGGATATAAGCCGGAAACGAAAAAAAAGTACAAGTAAGGCAGCACAACGAGAGAAGAAAGTAGAGCGACAGTGGACTTCATGCGACCTTCCTGTAAATGGTGCAATTCGATCTGCCGTGGCAGAAGGAAAGAATGATACTGGTTCTTTTGCACCATCATTTTATTCTCTACCATTGACACCGCTACAGTTTTTTTCTTTGTTTTTTACGTCGGATATGCTAGAGATGATTGTGAAGGAAACCGTCACATACGCTATGCAAAAAGGCACACATTTAGAATTGGGAACTGATGAGTTGAAGGTATTCTTCGGTATACTGTTGGTAAGTGGTTATAATATTAATCCACGCAGAAGAATGTACTGGGAAGAGGCTGACGATGTACAGAATATATCGATATCCAATAGTATGAGACGAAACAGATTTGATACTTTGATGCGGTATATCCACTTCAATAATAACCTAAACATCGACCAGACGGATCGTGTTTGTAAAGTCAGGCCATACCTTGAGATGCTGAGAAAAAAGTTTACGGAATACACTGTTTGGGAGTGTGAAACTAGCATTGATGAGGCCATGATTCCATACTATGGCCGACACGGATTGAAACAACATATACAGGGAAAGCCAATAAGGTTTGGGTATAAGGCGTGGTGTTGGAACATGAAGTCTGGATACCTCATTGATTTTGAGATCTATCAAGGTTCGAAAGGGGAGCCAAATGTTTATCGAGCTGATTACGGATTGGGCGGAAGCATAGTGTTAGCCTTTGCAGACAAACTACCACGTTCCTTGAATGGAAATATATGGCCGCACTGCATCTATGTTGATAACTTCTTTACATCATTGAAGGTTGTGGACAGATTCAGTGAACTGGGTATTGGAATTACCGGTACAATTCGCGCCAATCGTCTCCAAAATTGTCCTCTAAGAAATGATTTGAAGAAGACATCTCGGGGTTCCTACGACATGTGCTATTGCAAAAATTCTTGCACATTTCTCTGCAGATGGAATGACAATTCTGTCGTCACTCTGGTATCAAACTGCGAAGGTGTTGAGCCGATGCAACAGGCAAAGAGGTATTCTTTCAAAGAGAGTAAATCTATTACCATCAATCAACCAAAGTTAATCAAGAGCTATAATGAAAATATGGGTGGCACAGATAGGATGGATCAAAATGTAGCATATTACAGAACCAGCATAAGATCTAAGAAATGGTATTGGCCTTTAGTTATTTGGGGATTAGATGTGGCAGTTACCAACTCTTGGGTCCTTTACAGAAAGATGACACGTACTTTGCAGAACCAACCAGAAATGGACCTACTCCAATTTCGAAGAACGATAGCGCAAGGACTTCTTGCAAGTTTTGGAAGACCTAAGACGACTCCTGGGCCCAAAAAAGCAGTTTCACTTCGAGTCAGCCGAGACGCACGGTTTGATAATGTAGGCCACATGATCGACACACAAAACACGCGAACACGGTGTGCTTTGTGCCATTCTACTACGAACAAAAAGTGCTCAAAATGCAATGTCGCATTGCATCAGAAGTGTTTCATAAGATTTCATACACCAACAACAACAATTTAGCGTTTTTTTTTTGTAATTTTTCATAGTGCTGTCTTTTTAGGATTTATTATTACTAGAGTTAAATAATTATTTCTGCAGCAGTTGCATTATTTTGCATTAACCCATATTTATAATATATGTGCTCAGTGTTGCGTTTTCGCAACATCAGTTTTTTCAGACCGCACACTATAAATATTTTTTTTTACATTTTTTTTATGTAGCATTAAGCCAAATAAGGCAGTCTAGTGAGTTTCATTAAAAAAAATTACAAAAATATTTCTGGGCATTAATGGGTTGATATTTAATTTTTAGCGCATCTTTGCAAATTTATGTGTCAAAGGTAGCTTTTAATCTCACTTGGGCGGCTAGCTGGCTTGCTGGCAGCAAATGAGGGTCTGTCAAAAACGCTTGGAGGAAGACAAAGAATGTACATGTACCTACTGACGTCGAGTAATTAACAACTTTAGGGACGGGGCTACATAATGCGGTCGTTGACGTCTGGGTGCTATCCCGAAGCGTGTGATTTCTTGTTCCACAGTTTTGGTCCGATGGTTTTGTAAGGGCCGCGCCTTCGAGGGATAGTCGAATTTGGACACCCACAAGTTTCTTAAGAGCTCGAGTCGCGGTGATCGTGTCGCCAAGAGAAGCTGGAGTTATGAGAAGTGCTCCTAAAATTGAGTACTATTTTGTGGAGGGTTTTTAGCAAAATCCACCAAAATACGAATTGGGGGTGAACGGGACGTCGGAGGTGGGTACCGCCAAAAGGAAAGGAAAGTCTTCAACAAGATCTTATTGATGAACACGATGAATTTTTTACTTGCACCGTATCCTTAGAATATTAATTAAATTAATTCTTTGCATGTGGCGGCGTAGCCTGGATTTATTTCTGTTTTGTGTTTTGATTTGGGTGATGCTGCCAGCCCCAAAGCGCTCATGGATCCTACCAGCCCACCGGGAAACTTCCCGGAATCCCGCCGGCCTCATCCACCCCTGTTGACGGACAAATATAGGTGCGGAATGATTAGATTTGGTTTACCTTTCGAAGCAAAAGGATATCGAACAGAATAAAGAAATCCGAAGATGACAAAAAGAGAGAAAGTATTGGATGAAACCGTGGTACTTGAAAAGGGACGAATTCACTGATTTATGGTTATCAAGGAAATAAATATCACAAGTTTTGCGGATTATGTCAATGGTTTATACTTTGGAATACTTAGTGGGTTTGATCGAAAAATCGATTGAAAAAGGTTTTGACATATTTCACGATATGTTGGGTTCAACTCTGTCGGTGGGTATACGAGGCGCTTTCTGTCGACTACTTCGCAATCATGATTTCGAGATCGTGATTCGTACGATCACGTTTTACGAAAGAACGCGCGAATTTAAATCAAAGTATGGTTAAGTTTACGAAGTAGACATTTGCATTCGAATTAGGTATTTTTTGTTTGGATTATGAAAATAATTTAAATACAAGTGGAAGTACTTGCACGATTATGCTCCTCTTCAGTTACGAAAATTGACTAACCTAACATTTCAGCAAAAATATCCTTGCATTTATAGGTTAGGATTTCGTGATCATAAAACTTTTATGTTCAGTTTGTTCACGATTTTAGCAATCATGATTATAAGATCACACTTCGAAAGAACGTGATTTGACAATCCAAGCGCGTTTGGATCACCGAAAGAAAGCGCCTACGATTGTGCAGTGCACACGAAATCGGTTCCTCATATACAATAATGCGTCAATCTATCTCGGTGCGACAACCACATCCACGTGCACGCCCAGCATCGCTCCGTGCCAAGAATTCAAGACCGGTAAAACTCTTTGCTCCGCACCGCGAACGAAGCAAACTTAGCACGATGACTACTTCCACGTTCAAACTTGATCTGTTTGCAGGAGTGTACTGTACATTCCAAGTTCGATGAAATGAATGCACGTGGATGGCCGGCTTAAGTATGTACTTAGCTATCTCATGTATGTACATATGTAGCAAAAATTCCCTGATTAGTCCAGTCAAATTAGACGTAAAAATGGTAAATGGTTACGAAGGCTCCGGTAGAAGATTTTATTTTTCACACTTGTTTACAAAGTAAAGAGAGTGAAAAATCCAAGTTTGCCAATGCGACTGACGTCGTGGAGAAATTTCTGACTTTTTTCGGTTTTTTTAAAATAACTCACCAACGGTAATACTTAGGTAAAATCATTCATTATTAAAAACTGTAGTGTATAAAAGTACCTCAATTTGATATTTTATTTGGCCCCCCTAACATGTATAGTTTAGGAGATACACTAATTTAAAGTTTCGTTATATTATGTTATCAAAAATCTCTAAACCTTCCCCATAGAGTATATAGCATATATGGGGAAGGTTTAGAGATTTTTGATAACATAATATATTTCAACCCCCATTTCGAGGAACGATGGATCCAACTCAAAAAAAAAAAAAAAATTAAAGTTTCGTGTTTATAGTAATTTTTAAAAATAATAACAATTTTAGCGCATTTTCTGAGATTTTGTATGTACATGCATTTATGGATGTCATGTGGTCATGTCAAAATTTTGAAAATGGTGGAGGGTGAGGGGGTAAATACACGTTCTATGGTATTCTAATGAAAGGTCTCATCAAAATGAATTGGTTTCTACAAACTATAACCTTCCTGCGCGACTCCGTTTCTACATCACTGGGTGACAGACATCTTCCATGGTATTCTAATTAAAAGGGAAAAAAGTAACTGTTTTCTACCAGCTCCCGCCTTTCTTTCTCACCCCTTATCAAAAAGGGGGGTTGAGGGGGGACTTGTTTTATCCTTCATGGCATTCTAAACTCAATGAAAGGAATTACCTTTTACCAATCATAGTATTCCTCCTCGGCCCATTATCGTGATCGCTTATAATTACTTATATCTCAAGAGCCGATTGTCTGGAAAGGGTACTCACAAAAGACGATTGGGACGTCTGGAAGGAATATATCTTTTGGTGATGGCATAATTTATGAGTGAAACGGTTTGTCGAAGGAAAGTACACACAAAGGCAAAATGAATCCTCTGAACGAAGTGTCAGAAAAGGGCACTCATAAAGAGCAAGTGGAACGACAGGACGAGACATGTCCATTGGAGATGTCGAAACTTTGATTGCAAATATCTGCATAAGAGTGTGCAAAATTTTACGAAACTTTAAATTAGTAGTCCTAAACTACACATGTTAGGGGGCCAAATAAAATATCAATGGAAGGTACTACATATACACTGCAGTGTTTAATAATGAATGATTTTACGTATTGCCGTTGGCGGGTTATTTGAGAAAAATCGAAAAAAAGCAGAAATTTTTGCAGATTTTTGACCACAGAAATTTCTCCCGACGTCACTCGAATTGGCAAACTTGGATTTTTCTCTCTCTTAACCATTTAAACAAGTCGGAAAATCTTCTACCGGAACTTTTGTAATCAGAAAGTACAAATTGACTGGACTAGATCTCGCAATTCTTGCAACTGTCCGAAGATGTTCGAAACAAACATAATATAACATAATTCAACGAACAAGGTTTATTGTTACGTTAAAAATTAAGAATACATAAAATTAAAATCCAACAATTGATTTGAGATTAAAGGGATTGTACGGTAAATACGTACAACATATTAACTACACCAAAAAGTACCCTCTTTGCCAGACCAAAGAGCACCCATATGGGCACTTTTTAACTAGACATAAAGGTGCAATAAATTCAATAATGTAGGTTGGGGCGAAAGTTTTTCTTAAATATTTACTAAACACTCACGATCTGGATTGTTTTCGTTACTAGTGTTATTTGCAGGCTATTGAAAAGCAGCCTATGCATTCATTGTTCTAGTTGCCTCTGCTTCTCCCCACTTCAGGAGCTATCACGCAAAACACTGATTTAGAACTTACCATCAGGTGTAGCAGTGACTGAATGAGAAGAAGAATCCGCTCGAGTAGGGAGAGAAGATTGACGAACATCTGAGACCATCTACAACAGTACATCCTGCAGCTCCCCGGGTAGTAGGTACTTTCCCTCCCACTTTGGGAAGATTATACACCAGACCAATTTTGTTCGAAATTTACTGTAGATTATTCCTGTAGGTATACGACACTTTTCGCGCCAAACCGCATAGTTGTTTTAATATCCTAGAAAAACCGATAAAAACTACTAATTTTCCAACTTTCCTCCCCCTTCCATCCAAATCCGACGCTTAAAATGGTGTAACTTTTACCAAACAATATGTCGACTGTATAGAACAATTTGCAGTTGGAAGGAAACTTTTACTTTGTATGTTGAGGTTTGGGTCTAATTGCACTGTACTATTAGAATAAAAGCATGTTTAACACCAGGTGCAAAATTTGGTTTTGCAGATGCATTAGCCATACCCAGGAGCTCGTTTGCTGTATTTTTATTTTGCATTAATTTTTTTTGCCTTAATTTTTTACACGTTAATTTTGCAATACATCGAATCGTAACGGCATACCTTTCATGCTATTAATAGTAATGTAAAATGTGTGTAAAGTCAGTAAAGTGTCTCTTCTAACTTAAATAAGAAATACCACCAACGGTTCCAACGGCGCGCATGATTACGAGCTTTTATTCATAGCACAGCGATATTGAGATGAACAATAAACGTTTAGTGGGAAATTACACTACTTTCCCCTGATTCCTGTTTTAGATGATACGATCTATAGAACTTATTGAGCTAAAACACATTCTACAACAGCACTTAAATGTGACTGAATACGTACAAAACAGAATAGGGAAACAATATAAAAAATGCCATTACCTATACAGGGTAGAAAATGAATACCTATATCTTCAAAACAACATTTTTAAAGAAGGTAAGAAGTATCCAAAATTATAAAACAAGTTTGCTACCAATCTGCGTAATTAAAATTTGTAATCAGGGGTGGATTTCTAAATGGTCAAGGAGGGCATGTATACAGGCTGATTCAAATTCGAGGACCACCAAGGGGATTTTGGAAACTGTAAGAGATAGGTAGGAAGTTTAAATTTTGCAAAGTTGCGTATTTTGATGCTTAACAACAGTTTTAAGTTTGACGTTTCGTCTCCATTCAACCATCATCAACTTTGTTTTTTCTTATGGAAGTAATTTTTACCTTTTATTTAAAAAATGTAAGCATCACTATCTTTTAATAAGAAATGGCGCTATTAATTCGTAAAAACGCAAGAGACTACGAACATACACCATCCAAGACCAAGTTTATAAGGCAAAAAAGAAGATATTTTAACAATATTTAAAAAATAGTGATGTTTACATTTTTGAAATCAGAAAAAATGCTCTATCAAATGATACAAAAAGTAAAAATGACTTCCATAAGAAAAAACAAAGTTGATGATGGTTAACCGGAGACGAAACGTCAGACTTAAAATTTAAAACTATGATCTTGTAGAGGGAAAAAAGTGGCCATAATAATGTGGCATTTATTTTGAGATAGGTACCTTTTTAAATAACTTCGGTACGAAATAAAAACCATTTTGCAAAATTTCGTTTTTTTCCGGATATCTCCGAAAGTAGTCGGAATTTTTTCAGTTTCAAAACGGCATTCTGCATCAAAATACGCACCTTTGCCAAATTTAAACTACCTACCTATCTCTTACAGTTTCCGAGATCTCCATGGACCATGGTCGCCATCGAATTTAAATCAGCCTGTATAATTTTTTAATAGTAAGCACTATTTTTGTTACAAGTTCCTAAAGTGCGCCTCTTTTGAATGTCAATATTTAAAGGGGCGGTTTTTGGGTCCATTTTAAAAAGAAAACTTCATATGAACCTATGTCTTAAACGCTTTTTAACTTTTGAGATACAGGATGGTAAAGTTTTCAAAAATAAATCATTTATTATTAATGTCTGTAATACCACTTTAGATATTTTAATGAAATTTGGCATGTATGTACTATGTATCCAGAGGCATTTTTTAACGTACCACATTTTTTAGCGCATTTTTGCAAAAATTTTTTTTTTGTAAAAAGTAGCTTTTAATCTCACTTTGGCTGGCTGGCTGGCTGGCTGGCTGGCTGATCGGCTGGCTGGCTGGCTGGCTGGCTGGCTGGCAGTAAATGCGCGCCCGTAGAAAAACGCTTGTAAAAAGACAAAGAGTGTACATGTAACTATCGGGGCCGTGTAATTAAGAACGTTAGGGATGGGGCTACAAGATTTGGAGTCGACGACATCTGGACGCCATCCCCGAGCGTATTATACTAACCTGGAGATTTTGCAGTTTTTATCTATCTTCTTCTACAGTTTTTCTCCGATTGTTTTCAAATTGGTGTCGTCGGGAAGATCTTGTCAACGCGCACAACTCCTGCGTGGCGGAATTTTGTTTTTTTTCCTAGGGGCGAAATAAACCACCTTTTGCGCGGCGCGCTTCGAGGGGTTGTCGACTTTGGGCCCCCAAAAGTTTCTTACAGCGCGAATCGCGGTCTCTCTTTCTCGTGTCACTAATAGAAGGTCGAGCTATGTGAAGTACCCAAAAGTTGAATACGATTTTATGCCGGGATTTTAGCGAAATCTACCAAAATGTGAATTACGAATGAACGGGACGTCGGAACTGTGTATCGACAAAGGGAATGTGGTAACCCCCGACGAGATCTTACTGATGGTGGAGTCGAAACTTCAAATCCGAATTGTTGCGGGTGATCAGAAGTGGGTGTCGACAAAGGGAATATGGTAACCCCAAAGGATTTTACTGATGGTGGAGTCAAAACTTCAAACGCGAATTGCGAGTGCACGGTAAGTGAGAAAATGGTACCGACAAAGTGAACGTGGTAGCTTTCGGCAAGATCTTATTGATGGTGGAGTCAATATTGGCTAATAAAACACTGATCTGCCACACAAAAATGCGCTGAAGTCCCTTCGATCTCACACGAGGACTTTGATCATTTTTTTAATTTTCCCCAGTGGCGTTCGTACGAAATTTCACATGCCTATTTTGGCAGACATTGATGGCACGCCACTGATTTCTCTCAAAATAAAAATTATTGGTGAAATCCCAAATCATTTCTAACCAAATAAAATAAAAACCGTTTCTCTGCATGATCATGACGATATCACCGTGCAGAGAAAAAATATTTTCATTTATGAGCAGATTTGATCATTTGATTTTTTCAATCCGACACACGGTTTTCACGTAAAAAAAGAATATATTTTGGTATTACAGATATTAATAATAAATGATTTATTTTCGAAAACTTTACCACTCTGTATCTCAAAAGTTAAGACGTTTAGGACATAGGTTCATATGAAGTTTTCTTTTTAAAATGGACCCAAAAATCGCCCCCTTAAATATTGACATTCAATTATTGAACACCCTGTATAATCAAAACTAGTAGATAGTTGCCGTTAAAAAAATATGCCCCCTCGACGATACAAAAGTACACCACTGACCACAAATTCAAAGTACTTACTTAGATTGGTAACTTTATTATAATTTTGAACACTTCCTTAAAGCATCTCTGTCGTTTTTGTTGTTTTGTGCCCTAGACAAAATTTCCACCCTGTATTTATACATTTCGGGAGCACTGTCATGACATTTCGCAATTTGTGTTTATTTAAAAAAGTTATCTCAACGCCATCTACACTGTAGACGCCTCTTAGAATACAGTGCCGTTGTAGTAGCCACTTCCAGGAGGTACCTCGTCTGATACTTATAATTACGTTAGAAACAAATGAGATGAATAGCACTCTTGAGATGAGTACAATGGAATTATCTGGAGGAAACAAGTATTAAGATCCGAAATGTCTGAAATTAGGGTAGTTTTAAATATCTCACATGACTGCATCATAATTTGTTCCTTATCTTTCCTTTATTCGCCACTTTCTTAGGACACTGCCAAATTCTTCCCATATTCAGCGGCCGAAATGGTACCTATACTGACGAAACCTTACCGTTCCCAGGAAACGCCTCTTACCTGTCATAATAACGGGCGTTCAAAAATGAGTGGCGGTCAAGTCCTTTTGGAAGTTCAAATTAAGTACGATTTTCCATGTAAACAAAAATTCCAAAGGTAACCCAACAGCAACTCATTTTTGATCGTCCGTTACCTGTAGTTACGGAGTAAGCGGCAGACCTAAGCTATTAGACCGAGAGGCAGCGTACATAGTAACTAAACCATAAGCGACAAAAAATTCGACAATACAGGCTGAAAGTACGTTGAAAACTAATAATAAAATATTAAAATCACTCGTCTGCCAGTCGTAAGTGGCAGCAGCATTCACTTGGGGCGGCGCTGAATAGGTGACTTCTTTAGGTGATCAACTAAATTACCAAACTATAAGGGTCACGGAAATGATTTGTGTCAAGAAATCCCATTTTTTCCATTTTTTTCAAATATGCTATGGCAGACGATTTCAAGTGCAGCGTTGGTAGCGAAAGACGCCCTCCAATGTAGGGAAAAACACCCCTGAACTTAAACCATGAGGACCGTATAAAAATTATACATAAAAAATCCTCTTTTTGTCACTACTTTAACATATATCCTCGCAGACGATATTAAGTGTAACTTTAATAGTGGCAGACGTCTTAGAAGTTAAAAAATTTAGGTATAGTAAATTCCAGCGAGTGCGAGCGTGTGAGAGATGTGAATCAGAAGTGTAGAATCAAATGGTTTGAAAGATCTCAGTAGTCAGTATCCTATCGCTATCTCTGTTGGTTATGCACTCGCGCGCTTATCTCTCACACGCTCGCACTCGCTGGGATTTACTATACTTATATTTTTTAACTTCTAAAACGTCTGCCACTATTAAAGCTACACTTAATATCGTCTGCCAGGATATATTTTAAAGTAGTGACAAAAAGAGGAATTTTTTATGTATAATTTTTATACGGTCCTCATGGTTTAGTTCAGGGGTGTTTTTCCCTACATTGGAGGGCGTCTTTCGCTACCAACGCTGCACTTGAAATCGTCTGCCATAGCATATTTGAAAACTATGGAAAAAATGGGATTTCTTGATACAAATCTTTTCCGTGACCCTTATAGTTTGATAATTTAGTTGATCACCTAAAGAAGTCACCTATTCAGCGCCGCCTCAAGTTAATGCTGCCACTTACGACTGGCAGACGAGTGATTTTATTATTAGTTTTCAACATACTTTCAGCCTGTATTGTCGAATTTTTTGTCGCTTATGGTTTAGTTACTATGTACGCTACCTCCCAGTCTATATGGAATGCCGAACGTTACCGTGTCAGTGTCAGTCAAGAGAATTCTGTGCAATAAAAAATAATAAATTAAAAACTTTTTCTTATATTTTCTGCAGCGCCTAATTAAAAAACAACAGATCGTCAAATGTTTAAACTTTTAAATTTCACCAAAACCTGATCGTTCGTCGGTGTTAATATAAATCCGCAGTTTTCAAACGTGAGCTCCTTGGGCGTGTGTTTACTCGGTGCAATTTCAAAATGAGACAAGATCTTTATAACCCCAATCGAAACTGACAGCATGCCAAACTTTGTCGCTAAAATAGGTGCCTGTTATTACCACCGTTGCACTTCAAAGTACGTTACCTAAGCAGTTCTTGTAGCCTTCACCGAATGGCATGTAGGTATATGGGACGATAGTGGACTTGTTTTCTGCTGAAAATCTTTCTGGATTGAACACCATGGGATCTGGGAAATAGTTCTCATCGTGCTGTAGTGCTGTTAACGAAATGTAGACAGCAATTCCTTTTTGGATTACGACATTGGTGTTTGGGATAGTGTACGTTTTAGTGCATTCTCGGTCCAAAAACGGTAACGTCGGATATTTTCGTAGCGCCTCTAGAGATTGATTACTGTACTAGCCAAATGCTACTAACTGATCATACCTTTGATAACCATATCTAAATACGGCATTTCTTGAATAGCATCATACGTTATTGTCTCGTGCTTCGACAGGACGGCCAATATTTCTGCTCGTAACCGGTCTTGTATTGATGTATTTAACGAAAGCTCGTACAAAATATACGCGATAGTAGCCCCGGATGTTTCAAAGCCTGCCACCAAGAATTGCAAGGGGAGGCTCGCCAAGAGTTCGTCATCTGCAAATGACGCACATTAGGAGTGGGATACCTTTCAATTAGAGTTACCAAAATGATCAGGTTCTTCGCGCTGAAGTTTCTTCATAAGTTCGATGAAATCGGGGCGGTTAGTTTTTAATTGTTCTCTTTGTTTAACGGTGTCCAAAAATATTTTTGCTAAATAGCGACACGACTTAGGGTCGTTGAATTTCAGGCGAAATATTTTTACCAGAAGTGGTGCAAAGAAGTGTGCCGCCATTTGTATGACGCGTAGCGGGGTTACACCTTGAATTCCCTTTGCGGCCTCTGCAAAGTCGGAGTTTTCGTGCGAATTGACTCTGAGCCCGAAGGCACAAGATGAAATTGCGTCGATGGCGTATTTAAACGTCGTACTTCTACAGTTGGTCATTTCCGAACCTAAGCAATTGAGTTTCATAAAATTAACCATATCGTCACCGGCTTCCAAAACTAACGGCACCATGTTCTTCAATTTGCTAGCGGTAAATACTGACGTAACCTTTGTTCGAAGATTTCTCCACGCCGGCTGTTTCAGCATAAACAAATTAGTTCTGATGTACTTATCGTGTTCGTTGTACATCACACTTCGATCTTCGAAGTAATCAAATTCACTTACGAGAATCCTCTTAATAAGTTCCGGATCTCGGATTAAAAGCAGCGGCCGGTCAAAGAAAAAAAATCCTACGCATGGGAACGTAGCTGACTTATAAAGATCTCTCAAAAATGCATTAATTGACATCTTCTGGAGCACAAGAGGTAGCGTATTTCCGAAAAAGAAAACGGGTTTTTTGTACGGCACATTTTGATTCCTCCAACAACTAAAGTTCCGAGTAAAATACAAATAAATTGGAATAAATAGTGTAATTATTACACAAACACATGAAGTAATAAACCAAATCATCACCACTGACGCCGCACAATTTCTAACCTGAACTAGATTATTGTATGGATTTCAATTTGGTTGCGATAACCCAACAAGCAAATAAGACCTTTTTATCTCAACTACTGCAGTGCGGTCAGAGACAAACTTTATGTGGTAAAATGTTAACAAGTTGCCTAGAATATAAATGATTGTTAACCGAATTTTGAATGACATACTTTTTTCCAGAATCTCTTGCGCCGAAACCATTATACTTTGAATCGACTTGCGAGGCATTTTGTCACTGGACCACGGGAACCGATGAAAAGGCCTTGAACAGATTCTAGAGAGTTTCAGGTCAACGATAGACGGTTCGTGTATATTCTTCAATTCAGCAACAGCAACAGCATCGAACTGTTCGGTTCCGTTGCCTCTTTCAGTTCAAAGTGTTGGGTCAAGCAATAGAGCTATTTGATTGTTTTCATTCACCAACAGGACGTCGAGGCGTCGATTGGAACAAATGACCAGTGCAACTCATTTCATCGTGTACTGATAACCTTTGGTCGCCAAAAGCGTTGCCACTTATTGACCGAACTTTATTGTGTCTGTCGTTTACAAGCTAGTTTCCGAAAGGACATGGCGCTATCATATTAATTTCAATCATTTTGTTTCTTAATTTGTATGACCATGGACTAATTAGGTACCTACTTTTAGTCTATGGTATGACCTACTAACTTGTATCACGCATTTGTCTTAAATTTTGGGACAGTAATCACTTATACGAATGTCGTGCTATAAACAGCATCATATGCATGTTTTTTCGTAAATTGTTAATAGCGAATATTGTTGGCAAAAATGAATGCATTATTTGATTAATTAATCACAATAACAGAAAAATGGTAAGAGTGTGACGTGAAAACGTGGCATTGTTACCCAAGTCGAAATAATGACATTTTCTCCGTATATTACACCGATATACAATAAATGGACTGCGCGCGCCAATGCTATGCACGGATACTGCATGTGAGGGAGAACGGAAAACAAAGAGGGCAAGCTGTCTCTTACGGTTACGCATCTGATTGGTTCATTCAACAGGTTGAAAGAACCAATCAGATGCGTAACCGTAAGAGACAGCTTGATGCCTTCTCTCTCACCCGCAGTATCCGCACTTATCCTTGACACGCGCAGTGAATTTCTTATATGTCGATGGTATATTATAAATTGAAACAATAGATTTATTTAAAAAAAAATAGGTTGCTTGGTTTATTTCAAAAACCCGTTAAATGCCTCATTCCCGAAGCCAAACACGTTATCTTGTCCCTTTCAAATCAACTTAATTACTGCTATTATTTAATAGAATCTTGTAACAGGAGTTACATTTGAAGGTATACCTATCTACATTATGTTGATCAAATATTCAAAAACAAACAAACCAAACTCCCATTTCAAGTACGTGTTACTAATTTGACTTCATTAGCTTCAAACTCCTTGCCCTGCCTAATTTAAATCACCTCAATTTAGTTCACAATACCCTTAGAGGCCGACTTACCGACTGTGTAGCTCGGTGGTAGAGCGCTTACATAGGCGGAGGTTGGGTGTTCGAAACTGGGTTGAGGTAAGAATTTTTCATCTGTGGTAGGGATGGGAATTTCCTTAGATCAGTTTCAAGCATTCTGCCGGCTACTCCGAATTAGGTTTTCCTAATTCGTAAGGTAAATACCGGAGTGGTATCGAACAACTTAAGACCTTCTGCAGGGGCACCTCTAAAAAGCATTCTGCGGGCCCCTCTGTAATTGGGCGAAAGCCTGTTGAGGGCCCAGAACAAAAGAGACAATAAATAAATACAAGTTAAAAAGTTATCGTAAACGATTTACATAAAGCGCATTTCCACTTGCATTCATTTCCCATTTGTAAGATGCAACTTCTGTTAAAATCGTAAAAATCCGCCCACAAATATGAAAGATAGCGTTGCACATGGGCAATCCATTTTTGTCGTGCTACTTCAATGTCAGTTTATGAGAAGAATTTCATTTCAATGCTTTTCTAAATAAGAAAGTGGGAACTGCGCATGCGCAAACCTAAATTTTGAAACTAATGTTAGATTTTCCTTTGTTCCAAGCGCCTAAATATCAAATTTCACTTAAATGCTTCCATAGATAAAAAGGTTGGCACTGCGCATGCGCAAAATAAAATTTTGAAACTGGCGCTAGATTTTCCTTTATTCCAAGTGCCTATGTATCACATTTCGTTTAAATTCTTCCATAAATAAAAAAGTTGGCACTGCGCATGCGCAAAGCCAAATTTTGAAACTGGCGTTTGATTTTCCTTTATTCGAAGTGCCTATGTATCAAATTTCGTTTAAATTCTTCCATAAATAAAAAAGTTGCCACTGCGCATGCGCAAAACCAAATTTTGAAACTGGCGTTTGATTTTCCTTTATTCCATGTGCCTATGTATCAAATTTCATTTAAATTCTTCCATAAATAAAATAGTTGGCACTGCGCACGCGCAAAATCAAATTTTGAAATTGGCGTTTGATTTTCCTTTATTCCAAGTGCCCATGTATCAAATTTCATTCAAATACTTTTATAAGTAAAAAAGTTTGCAATTCGGTTTATAAATGGTCGAGATGCGAAAAGGGCACTGTGAATTTTCAATCGATTCGATTCAACTTTTGGCATTGCGTATTATATGGTTAAAGCTATGCCCATATTGAATTTCATGCAATTCAGTTCATAACTAACGGAGATGTAAAAACGATCGAACATTTCTAAACAAAGTTATCGTTCACACGGACAGATAGATGGACAGACAGACAAAGGAACAGACGGACAGACCAACTGGCAGGCGACAGATAGCAATGCAAAATTATAAACGATCTCTAGGATCGTTAATAAACGGCAAAAGTGTAAAATTATGGAACATGTAAAAAACGGTTTTTTGTTTTTTTTTCAATAACTTTTTTTGTAAGCGGTACAGAAAAAATTCCTTCCTTGGTACAAGATTCGACACTATAACGAACCAAACAGCGAAAAAAGTAGAACAATAGCTCTTAAGATAAAGAACTAGTAGCGTCGCAAAACGAGCGGACGGACGGACGGACGGACAAAGTGGCCACAATAGCGCATTTTGCGACGCTACTAGTTTTTTATCTTAAGAGCTATTGTTCTACTTTTTTCGCTATTTGGTTCGTTATGGTGTCGAGTCTTGTACCAAGGAAGGAATTTTTCTGTACCGCTTACAAAAAAAGTTATTGTAAAAAAAACAAAAAACCGTTTTTTACATGTTCCATAATTTTACATTTTTGCCGTTTATTAACGATCCTAGAGATCGTTTATAATTTTGCATTGCTATCTGTCGCCTGCCGGTTGGTCTCTCCGTCTGTTCCTTTGTCTGTCTGTCCATCTATATGTCCGTGTGAACGGTAACTTTGTTTAGAATAATGTTCGATCGCTTTTACATCTCCGTTAGTTATGAACTGAATTGCATGAAATTCAATATGGGCATACCTTTAACCATATAATACGCAATGCCAAAAGTTGAATCGAATCGATTCAAAATTCACAGTGCCCTTTTCGCATCTCGACCATTTATAAACCGAATTGCAAACTTTTTACTTATAAAAGTATTTGAATGAAATTTGATACATAGGCACTTGGAATAAAGGAAAATCAAACGCCAATTTCAAAATTTGGTTTTGCGCATGTGCAGTGCCAACTTTTTTATTTATGGAAGAATTTAAACGAAATTTGATACATAGGCACTTGGGATAAAGGAAAATCAAACGCCAATTTTAAAATTTGGTTTTGCGCATGCGCAGTTCCAACTGCTTTATTTATGGAAGAATTTAAATGAAATGTGATACATAGGCACTTGGAATAAAGGAAAATCTAGCGCCAGTTTCAAAATTTTATTTTGCGCATGCGCCGTGCCAACTTTTTATCTATGGAACTATTTAAGTGAAATTTGATACTTAGGCGCTTGGAACAAAGGAAAATCTTAGTTTATTAGTTAGTTATAGTAAATTAGTTTTAAAATTTAGGTTTGCGCATGCGCAGTTCCAACTTTCTTATTTAGAAAAGCATTGAAATGAAATTCTTCTCATAAACTGAAATTGAAGAAGCACGTCAACAATGGATTGCCCATGTGCAACGCTATCTTTCATATTTGTGGCCGGATTTTTACGATTTTAACAGAAGTTGCATTTTACAAATGGGAAATGAATGCAAGTGGAAATGCGCTTTATGTAAATCGTTTACGATTACTTTTTAACTTGTTTTATTTTTGTGGAAATGCGCTAAAAAGAGGCACGGAGATGGGTGACTATACAAGTATAAAGAAAATGCTTTCTAGCTCTTGTAAGAAAAGTCTAATGTATTTTAAACCTATGCAATAAGTGTTGTAAAATCCTTATGTTAGAAGTTCCCTGCTGTCGTTCTGATCGTGTGAATTCAAATCCTTTTTCAGTTCCCCACTGTTTGTGCTGCTTCTTGCATGTTTCTGTATTTCACCAAAATTTACAGACAAGAACCTTATTCGGTTCCATTCCAGACCACACTTTTCCAGATTCTTAATTATTTATTTCCCTACCTGCGTCCTAGTTTTCCACACCAGAGCCCTTGAATTACTTATTGTTTCGTTTAATTCATTTATTAATTTCTAACCAATTTATTTAGTTTTGGTTTCATTATTCAACTGCCTGTATTCGTAGCGTCAATATTCTGCTAGGTGATATAAAACTGCGGACTTCAAGTTACATTGATATTTTGGGGTTTGTACATTAGATCGGTCGACCTGACTCAAGCACAATTGTTATTGATGCTGAGAGATTCAACTGGCTCACCATGCGTGGTTGTTTGAATCGATCGGAAGGATCCTTTTAAAGGATTCTGAAGGGAATTATAATACTCTGCCTAGACTCCGTGTTGCACAACCCTGTACCTAAAATAAGAGAGCGCGAAAGCATCCTTGTTTACCTAAACATCCAGCGTATTGATTCACCGCCGTAAATAATTGTTTAATTACAGCTAATTAGACGCTACGAGCCCTATTTCTAGAGACAACGCACCACCCACCGTATAAATAAAACACGTGGAGGGTTTAGTTATTTGGCCGACACCATATCCGGCCTTTAAAAGCGACAGCGATACATCCGCGGTGTCTACGATACAGGCTTTCCGAATCTGTACCACCTGATGC